AGATAATTAAAGATGACTAAAAATAGAAAAAATCTTTTCTTTTTTAGTTTTTAAATACCAATTTCAAAATGACTCCTTTTAGAGCTGTAATTTTAATACCATGATAATGCAAAATTGTGATATTTTTGCCTGAGGTTGTCATTAGCACTTGTAAGTTTTGCACATCCTGCGCACCTTGTCTGTTAGTAAAATATCTCCTGAACCACTGARCAGATGTTAGTGAAACTCCCTGAAAGTAATCAATGGATATCTATGCAAAGGTTATTGTCAATTCAGATCGAAGATTGCCGCCACAGCTGATCAAACTTAGCCAACATGAGAGCTATTAAATCTTGCAAGAACTGACAATATCGCATGAGCTTGTGCATGACATCATTTACAACATTTGATTCAAACAGCTACAACACTTTCATTTCTCATCATAAGATGATTTTCTGTCATGAAAGGTGCCGGACAACGTGCATTMCTTCGAGGCATGGTTGGTCTTTAATTAAACGTTGTAAACAGACTGTTGATGTTATTGCACCTAACTATAATAATAATAATGTCAAACATTTTATAACCTGCACCTGAAACAGCTCTGCTTTCTTRAGAAGATCCAGTATACTGATGATTACAGACTATATAAATATATTGTAGACCTCCTCTGTGTTGTAACAGATCCCCGTGTGACCAATTAATCAGCATGAAAAGTGTTGCCATCGCAGTTCAAAGAATTTGTAAGACTTCAGTGTAATGGCTTGCACCTCTCCTGTCCAAGAAATTATTTTTAATTGTCTCGTTAAAAGATGATGTTGCTGTGAGCTGGAGAAAACAATAACAGCTCTGTTTCCGCCTGACTGAAGCGGATCTTTAAAGCTTCCCGTTTACCTGTGCAAAGCTGAAAGCCCAGACGTCCTTTATGTTACCACAGCAACCTGGTTGGGTCTTTGAAACTCCTGCAAAAATAGAAAGAAAAAAAAATACAATAACTGAATAGTTTACTTTGAAGCAGCAAGCAACAGTCAACAGCACAAAACAATGACCCCATTAAAAAGATTGTCACTAAAGGCTTGTTTTCTTCTTTGCAACTGGTTGAAAAACTGCTGGAGTGAAACAATTTGACCTTAAAATATACTGTAGTTTGGGTGTGTTTAGTACTTTACACGTCTTTGAACGAAATATCTAACACTTTACTTGTTAGGAAGCAATCAAACAAACCTAAATAATTAAATTAACAATTTATAAAATACACACAAAATGTTTTATTAGTTTGGGAATTAAAAAACATTTCAATTATCTTTTTAATAACTATGCAAAATAATATACTGTATATATA